ATGAGGAGGAAGATGAGGAGGAAGATGAGGAGGGCCTGAAGGAAGAAAAAAATCCAAAATAGTAAACCAACAAGAGAGAAAAAAATATAAAACAAACAAGGAGCAAGAATGTATAGGAAAAAACAGCTAAAGGTTAGCATTTGATTATACTAAATCAGAAGGGCCTCCTACTGTAACACACACACACACACACACACACACACTGAACACACAGCCCCTCCCCTCTCAAACTGTCCAATAATAACACTAATGTAGGACAGGGACAGACGTTGTTAGCAGCTTTTCACACGAGCGCATGTATGTATGTGTATATGCGTGTGTGTGTGTGTGTGTGTGTGTGTGTGTGTGTGTGTGTGCTTGCAGGTGCGTTTACTGTACATTCAGCCATGCAGAAGTAAAACTGCGTGTCTTTGTTCACTGGCGTGTGCGTGCGTGTGTGTGTGTGCGTGTGTGTGTGTAGCTGTATTTGTCAGAGTCCTTCGTGTCTGGTTGTCACTGGTGTTTTCCTAACAGTAAACGGGCCTTGTGCTCGTCACGTGCACGCTCTGGTCACCACGTGCACACCCCCTGTGCCCTGGGTGCAGCAGCAGAGAGCCCATGTCCAGATGGTGCAGCTTTTCTCCGCTCCTCCTCTGAAAGTGGAGCAGTGGGTTAAGCTTCCATTACAGCAGCTTAAAAACACACTAATCATCAACGGCAGCAGCAGCAGCAGCAGCGTGGAGGACCTGAAGGAGACGGCCAGACGACTGACCTCTGACATCAGCCTCAGACAGAACTGCTTAGTATATTAAACCACCTCTGGTTTCAATATTTTTAAAGGTTAATTCCCTAAATCAATCTACCAGTGGTTCTCAAACTGTGGTACGTGTACCACCAGCGGTACGTGAGCGCTCTCTAGTGGCACACGGGAAAAATTCATATTTTCACATTTACATTTTCAATTGAATAAATCTGAAACATACCATGCACAATTACTACAACATTTCAACATAAACATCTTTCTAAACATGTCTAAACCTCTGCTGTGGTGGAGGCTCTACAGTGAAGTGCTGCTGTGTTCTGCTGCTGTGTTCTGATGTTGGTCATCATGGTGGGACTCAGAGACATCAGGGTTTTCTCAGCTGGTACAGAGTTGAAAAAAACCACTGCCGTTTACATCTGCTAACTTTTAGCTTTTTCTCAGCTAATACTCAGTACAGTACGCTACAACACAGTATTATACCATGCAGACTACAGTACGTAGCTGTTCAGAATCAAATACTTCACTACAATACAGTATAACGCAGTACTGTGCAGTACAGACAACTATAACACACTGCAAAACTCTACAGTACTGTACAGAAAACTAGATTACAGTGCAGTGGTTAAAGTACTGAATGTTAGATAACAGTAGTGAACTACTACAGTACAATAGAGTGCAGTATAGTACTGCTGTGTATACCACAGTATCTGTCATACTCTCCAGTTACTGCTGATCCACAGGAACAAATGTTCTAAAAGCTATGATAACAGGTTTCTGTGTGTGAGGTTCCTCAGTTCAGCTCCAGCTCAGCACGAAGCGCACACACACGCACACACACACACACACACACACACACACACACACACAGGGCAGCAGGATTTAAATTCTAGTGTCCACAACACCATGGTCCAGTTTTTACGAGTGAATGAACAGGAAGTGAAGTGATGATGAAACGAAACCTTTAGCTTTGATCTGTGTGGAACAGATTTCACTACGTCTTTATGTCCTCCTTCTGGACAGATTAATACGGTTGTTGTATTGGGTTGATGGGTGAAGGGAGACAGACGCACGAGGGAGACAGACACATGAGGGAGACAGACGCACGAGGGAGACAGACACATGAGGGAGACAGACGCACGAGGGAGACAGACACATGAGGGAGACAGACGCACGAGGGAGACAGACGAGGGAGACAGACGCACGAGGGCGACAGACGCACGAGGCAGACAGACACAGGAGGGCGAGAGACGCGCGAGGGAGACAGACAGAGGAGGGCGACAGACACATGAGGGAGACAGAGGCATGAGGGAGACAGACACATGAGGGAGACAGACACACGAGGGAGACAGACGCATGAGGGAGACAGACAGAGGAGGGAGCCAGACAGAGGAGGGAGACAGACACATGAGGGAGACAGAGGCATGAGGGAGACAGACACAGGAGGGAGACAGACACAGGAGGGAGACAGACGCACGAGGGAGACAGACACATGAGGGAGACAGACTCATCTAGACAGACTCATCTTATTGTTGCTGTTGTCAGTTGCTGTTTTTGTTCGTGTTGTGTCTGTGGTTTGTGTTGTTGTCGTATAAAACTGCTTTACTAATTTCCAGCATAGTAATGTGTTCCTAGTGTGTGTGTGTGTGTGTGTGTGTGTGTGTGTGCGTTTATACACATGCATGAAGTTGAGAAGTTGGAGTGTTGTTATGGTGATCAAGGAAGCCAGTGTCACCATAACAACCATTTAAATCTGCTCTGCAATGCACACGCACACACACGAATGCACAAAGAGACACACGCGCAAACCCACACACAGACACACGCACATGTTGGTGCCCACCAGCTGAGAACCACAGTGAAGTTTTCTTTTGGTTTGACTACAGCTCAAACTCTTCCTCCAAACTTTCTCTCCCAGCCTCAGAGCCTCCTCCTCCTCCTCCTCCTCCTCCTCCTCCTCCTGCTGCAGGAGTACAGGAGGAGGTGACGTGTCTGTGTTTTTAAAGAATCCTGCTGACAAGTTCAACTGACGGACAGTGATGATGGAAAGATCCTCTTTTATCTCTCCTTCATCTCTCTCTCTGTCCTACCCCAGCCACCCTCCTGTCTGCAGCTTCCTTTGTTGTCTGACTGTACTTTTCTGCTCCACCCTCCTCCAGCAGCGCCACCTCTGTGTCAATAAAGGAATATTCCATGGTATTCTTGTTTCAGCTCACACAAATGACTTCATCGTGGTTCACATGTTTGTTTGTTTTTTTTGATGAAAACAAAATACATAAATAACCAGCAGCAGCTCTGTTTCCTTTACCCTCTCTTCCAGCACCAAAGTCCATGGAGAAAATCATTGATTTTAGCACAGTGACACAGCAGTTGTTGATTTACTGCTTCCTCTATCACTTAGTTTAAATGTGGTGTTTTGAGCCCAAACTCTTCGTAATCCTTTGCCAGATTTACCTCAGTGACACAAACAGACTATAGGAGGCAGCAGAAGGGCAGTGGCTGCTGTATTTCTTTGAGCTAAAATCAATGATTTTCTCCATGGACTTTGGTGTGAGGGGGAGCACTCTCACATTTCCATAAATTTAGTGTTTGAGGTTTTGTACTTAAACAAATCCTCCACTGCTGAGAAGTCAGGAAGCAACGGGCTGACCACTCTGCCCCCCCGAACTCCCCCCCCCCGACTTTACTCTCTTGGCCCCTCCCTCTTTTTCATCCTAACAGTCCTAAGAAGATTAAGAAACTGACCTTAGAGCTCAGTCAGTCTGAAATGAAAGTAGAAGTAGAAGAGGAAGAGGAAGAAGAGCCTTGTGCTTTTAAAAACTGTGATTATAATCATCATCATCATCCTCTTTCACATCACCACTATCATCTTCATCATTCTTATCACCATCATAATCATCATTATCAACATGATGAGAATGATGACCATCTTGATGATCATCTTCATCCTCATCAATAGTCATATCATCACACCTATCTTCACTAATAAAACAATCATCTTGATTGCCATATTAATTATTCAGCTTAATTGTCATTATCATTAAGTATCCACCTCATTATTATCAAACTCATGACCATCCACATCATCTGTAAAACCACCACCTCCTTATTAACACGGTTGTTGTCATAAATATCATTAGCATTAGCCTTCATACATTCAATAATATAATATATTTCTTCACTATTTCACAGAAACGAGGCTTTTCTAATTGAATCATTTGTATTTCCTCCTCTAAAATTCCCACAATCCTTTTGGTTAAAACACAATCGGTGAGAGAAACACTTCTATTTCTTGAGAAGCTTACACGGCCCTGAACAGAAGTGACCCACACTGAGGGTTTTTCATCTCTTCAGGATATAAAGAGTAGGTGTGTATTCAAACACAGTCACACACACACACACACACACACACAAACAAACTTCTAATTATGAATTACGCAGCTTAGATCAGTGAAGCCAAACTGTGTGTGTGATGTATGTTGCGAGTTAACGCCTGGAGAGGGACGAGTCGGGCCGTGTGAACAGTCGTGGATTTGGAAGTGGATCACAGATGAGAGGGTTTCTCTTGGTCTTTGCTCAGTTTTCCCAGAGGGAAAATCCGAGGAGATTCCTCTGAGAATTCTTCACTTTCTGATGTAAAAAGCTTCAGGCAGAAACCTAAGTTTGCGTGAGTTTAGACAGGAACAGTTTTTATCACATCCTTATCATCACTATAGTTGTTTCCTGCATCAACCCTATCGTCACTTTAGTTTTATTTTCAACAATAACTGATTGTTTTCACCTGGACCTAATGTCCTTTCATCATCATTATTCTTGTTGTCGATTGTTATCTTCGTCATCCTCATTAACATGTTCCCTGTAATTACAGCATTTGAATCATTCGTATCCTCTTTAGAATCACCAACTATAACAAAAAGATATATATCGATGATAGAACAAAGTACTGATGGAAAAATAACCATTAGCTTTAGCTCTGCTGGGCGTGAAGCTAATTTGAAGTTTTCTCTTACTGAGGAAATGTGTATAACAATAATGTCTCAGGATAATGGGTCTGACTGTATGTTCACCGTTACACAGCATGAGGGAGTGAGAATGGGAATGTGGGCGGAGCTTCATCACGCAGTATTCTCTGGGTGTGAAAATCTGCTAAAGCTCTGTCTGTGGGGAGTTGGTGTGGGGGACACTCCAACATGGACATTTTGGACATTTCTAGGACATTTTTTAGGTCTCCACTGAGCGAGAGAGTTTTTTGAGGTTCAGGATTTAGTTGGGATTAGAATTGACGTAAGGTTAGAGTTGGGTTTAGGGTTAAGATTAGACATATGTTTGTAATGGGTAACGTTACGTAAGGGGCTAAGGAATATGCTACGTCTACGTGAAGTGATGATAAACTACAAAACGCTGTGTGTGTGTGTGTGTGTGTGTGTGTTTCCACAAAGCTTCTTTCATTGGTCTGAAAGGCTGTTTCTTTTTTCTTCATTAATCCAGAGTGAGAGTGACTGCTCTGCTCACTTTGGTATGCAACGCCTCATCCTACCAGAAAAACACACACCAACCACACAACACTGACTCACACACACACACGAACATGCCAACCTCCTTTTCTTCTCCCTCAGATTACTGACAGACAATACTAGTGTCCTTCCTGTTGATTTCAGTTGACTCATCACTTGTCTGTTGTGGTGTGATGCTGTTTATTCTTTTTGATTGGCTGTTTGTGTTTGTATTTCCCAGAGTTGAAGTGAGTGAAGACTTGATGAGTCACACAGACCCATGGTTTACATCCAGTGTTTGTCTTTCATCCTACTGATTACTCTGACATCATTACCCTCATCACCCTGACCTCGAGAAAGACCAACACTTAGAGTAGGCAGTTAAAACTGCGACCAGGTTGCTGTAAGGTTAGAGCACTAACCACTCTTCCACTGAGGTCCCAGAAGTACCTGGACTTCCTGGTGACCCCAAGGGTCAAAAGTTCACTTTAGAGCAGTGTGACAGCAGCATCCAGAAGAAATACAGAGAGGATCCACAATGATGGCCCCTGAAGGGGTCAGCCAAAGGAGAAGAAGAAGAAGAAGAAATTGATCACAAACCTTAGAAGTCGGAACGACTTCTTTAAGACTGGAAAATGTGTGTTTCTGGGAAATTATATTGAGGACGAAAATTAAACTTTCCCATCATTATCTTCATCTACGTCAGGGCCATCGTTGTTACCTTCATCATCACCATCATCCTCATCTCACCCCTCAATTTACATCTACTCACCCACTCCGATCTTCTCGTCCTCTGTCGGTGTCCACATCATGTCTCGGCGTTTTCCGGTGCTGGTGAATCTGTCGCGTTATTCCAGATAGTGTCTTTGTCGAGTTGTTTTTTCCCCCCCTCACGGTTATTCCTAGGCTTGTTCCAGTTGCTGACACAGCTCGGCTCACCTGAGTCTCCCAGGGATGTCCCAGCGATTCCGGGAGATTCCGAGATTGAGCTCAGTTCCGAGCTCGAGATACAGGACCTGGTCGAGTCCCGGTGATGCTCAGCTCTGAGGCTTCCTGCTCCTACAGGAGTCTCCTGAGGAAAAGCTCCAGGTCAACTGATCTAAAAACATCACGCAGACCTGTGCGTCACATCCAGGCGAAAGTTTGCGCCGCTCCGTGCCGGGACGCGGCCGTGATGGACAAGGTTTTTGTTGAGTCTGCTCCGATCCGGTCCGGTTCCTGTGTTGTCAGAGTAGCGTGCGTGAGGGAAAATCCGCTCCTAGATGTACGTCAGTCTGGTCCGGAACCATCTCTATGAGATGCTCCAGCACATCCCAGGTTTTCCAGACCTAGTACTCTGTCGCTGCTGTCTGTCTCTGCGCTGCTCTCCGGTCTAACGCACCCGTACTAAGGGAAATGAAGACACAGTTGTGCGCGTGCGTGCGTGCGTGCGTGTGTCAGAGCCGTCATCAGCGTGGGGAAAATCCTGCAGCTCAACCTGATACAGAAGAAAAACAGGCGCAGCAGAGCAGGAGGCTGCGGCTGAAGGACCAAAACAACAGTAAAAAAAAGACAGAAAATTATAAGACACAAAGTAGAAAAAGAGCAACACATAAATTAGACAGGAATGTAAAAAATGATTGACAGGGGCGCAGCCAAGGGAGCCCTTAACCACTGCACCCGTCTCAAACATTTTACACCTGGTTCCACTCCCAAAAACACCCGTCACTCCCAGTACACCACTGTGACAAATATTTGAATTGAGCAGCAAATAATACTGTGTTCAGATAAGACATGTGCATTAAGAAGGGGACGTATAGTTTCATTCATTGTAATAGTTAATTCATTGTAATAGTAGTATTACATCTGGTACTGTAATTCAATTCTGAAACCACACCACTTGGCCCATTAGAACTGCCTTTGGCATATGTATCATTTCTGTTTCAGAACCATCTGCATTTATGAAGTAAACAGTCGGTAGACAATAGTTGTGGTGAGAGTTCATATTATAGAAAAAATCCAGCATTTAAAATTATTCATGTAAATTTAGTACTGGGTCAATAAATCACGGACGATTATGAACTTTCATCAATCCAGTACAAACAATAGAGTAAAACAATGATTAATCGTGAGTTCACTGCAGGTCATCAATGACACAAACGGAGACGGAGCCAGTTTTTTTTTTTTTTCAATCAAAGCAACACTGCCCTCTTTTGATGGCCGGGAGAAGCTACATCACAAACTATGTGAATATGGTCCACGTTATCAATAAAAGTACGAAAAGAATGTAACAATTAAACAAATAAATACAACAAAAGTAAAGCGAAATAGTGTTTTCAAAATAGACTGTGAAGAAAATGCCTTGGTTATGTTAAAGTCAGTTACTAGGTAATACATTTAAACACTCACTGAAAGTAGGAAAGGTACCTTATGATAGAAGTTACAATTCTTTAAATAAATGAATTAACTAACACTTTACTCAATGAATATATTTTATTTAGACGTTTCTACAAAAATGTTAATCAACGAGGACCGTGTGTCCTTCGTTGTCTCGTGTCCTCCTGTAGTGACTGTACAGACAGTCCTTCCTGCACGCCTTTATAAAACTTTTCAGTTCTCTGACAGATAGTACTGAATCCTGTCTCTATATTTCCATCACTTTAGAGTCACTGCAACGATCACATTCATTTGTTTGTATTGTTGTGAGTACAACTGTACTGTATACTGTATATTTGCTAAAAGTTGGATCCATTTCCATACAAAGCAGATCATTAACGCAAATGTTTTTTCATTGTCTAGTGGAAATCCAAACTCTCCTCACATGTGGGATACTGAACACTTTGGAAAGGGACAGAATGAAAGATTTGCATCTTATTTTTTTACAGATAAAATTTCTAATTAAACAAAACTGTTCTGCCACATTTGATTTTTCTTTTTCTTTATTTCGGACAGACTCAGTTGAAAGGTGATTCAATTTTACCATTTTACTCTCAGAGTGAGCGTCATTTATGGACCAGACTGTAGGAAAAACATGAAATCCCTCCCAATTTAAAATATAGATAAATACATATAAATATATTTAAATTGTATAAAGAGAGACCCATTGTTCACATTCACTTTGTCTGCTTGAAGAAAAATGTGGAAAAAAAACAAAATAAAATAATAACAAAGGCTTGTAGAATCAGGAAAACCACAGGAGTGGAGAAGTGTCATCACTGTCTGACTGTTCAGCTTCATCTGCAGTGTGGGCACACACACACAAACACACACACACAGGATAAACAAGGTAAGAACATATTTGTTAAACATTTTCCAATTCTACATATTTATGAAGACATTTTTGGTTTCTCCATAACACAGCAGCTTTCGTGTGTAGATTATTGTTCTTCTCCTTCACCCTATTTTTAATGACTGAAAAATATCCCCAAGCCATCAGTGAGTGGTTAATGTTTACTTGACATTACATTAGTGCTATCTATCTACGTATCTGTTAGGAGTCGAGTTTATGAATCTAAAGTAGCAGCAGCTCCAGTGTCTCTGTGAGATAAAATCACTGATTTTCTCTGTCAGTGATTTTATCTCACCAACAGCTCAGAGCTGCTCTCACTTTGTGATATTAAATAAAGTTTGAAACTAAAGATGGTGGAAGTGCGGACATGGACTGTAGGAACATTACTACTCACCATCTGTGTTCTCAGGGTCAAACGGATCAGAACTAACGTCACCTCTGATGGAATTATTCAAATCTTCAGAGTCGCTGCTGACATCACTGTCGTCAGCGCTGTCACTGTCTTGGACGATTTCACCGAGGAGCTGAGAGATCTGTAGGAAGTTTGAAAACCAAGGGAAAGATTTCCATCACGTTCTACATTCTAAACTCTAGACCACCAAGAAGGCCGACACAGTCAAGCCCATGGGCTGCAGCCCACAAAAGAATGATATAAAATAAAAGCTGTACTAGATATAAACTCTCTTTTACAGCTGATAATTAGATTAATTGCTAGAACAGACACTAACATCACCATTCTAAAGAAAAAAAAAAGAAAGAAAAACAAGACTCCATGACTCTGATACCTCCTCCTCTGTGGGAGTGTCAACTCGTCCAACGTCGTCTGGGTTGTCATTGTTGGTCAGCTCTTCTATGAGCGGGTCAGTGTCCATGTCGTCATCGTCGTCGTCGTCCGAGTCCGAAGAATCATCATCGTCGTCATCTTGGTCTTCATCCTGAAGGAGAAGAATTAAGAAGAAGAACAGATCTGCGTCAGATCTAACTTCAGAGCTTCATGAAGTCCAGACAGTGGTCCACACCAGCGTCCGTGTTGTTACCTCGTCCTCATCGTCGTCTCCTTCTTCAGCCAGTTTCTGTCGCCCTACCTCGTAGAGACGACACACTGTGTCCAAGCTCACAGAGTCCTGGTTCTACATGGTCCAAACACATGACAAAAGACAAAGAGTTGAATTTCTTCATAATTTCACTTTAGGCTATAGAAATTAGGCTATAGTAAACAAAACAATTATATTTCTGAAAAAAAAAAACAACAATCTGGTAAACCTTCAAAAGCTAGAGGTCAGCTGTAACAGATGAACTGGGTTTAAATCTGTACCTCAATAACAGCCAGGTAACAGTCCTTGTTGTCGGTGCACAGGTCAAAGATGTTCCTCTTCACATCCACTGTAGCTAAAAACAAATCCACAGCATATTTGATCAGCTGAGTCTCAAAGCTAAAGCTACAAACTTCTTCAAGAACAGCACTGAGAAAGATGTGTTTAAATACAAGGGTTTTTCTTTAACCAACATCAACATCACAATTTTAACAATTTTCAAAGTGATTGCTGAAGTGGTTCCTACTGATGGGCTTGTAGTCCGTAGCGTCAAAGGTTCTGAAGGAGGAACCAAAGGGACTCTTCATCTGCTGGTCCATGGTATCGTCCTCATCATCAGCTTGCAGCATGGCTGTGTAGAAAAAAGAATCATCATTCTAGAATTTACAGCTTGTTATTGCAAGCCATCAACAAGTTTAGAGCAACATCTGGATGCAGACAAGCGTTTGTTACCTCTCGTTGCCTTAGAGACGCTGTACACAAAGGTACAGAAATAAATAGCCATTTTTAAAATACATTCAAAACAACCAAAAAGTGAATAGCCATTTTAAAAATACATTCAAAACAACCAAAAAGTGAGAGACATGAAAGCCTGACTTATGCAGTCTAGGTGAGACGGTTGGATTGACAAGGACACAAAGACACTCAGTACATTTAATTTCTCCAGATAAAACCTTCTACGTTACCTCCATACATGATGGTGGCGTTACTGTTGAAAACCAGTCGGCACTGGTCAAGAGCTGGGACTGTGCGCAGGAGGTGAAAGGTCTTCATGTCCCACTGACACCAGCAGTTAAGGCTGAAAACTTCATGGACCTCACAACACTCAGAGTTACCTTAATTATTACTTACTTAAGAAGAAATCTCTTCTTCCCTCCAATAAAGGTTGCATTTTGTTTAACATTTGGTGAGGTTGGAGGGCAGATGATCCTCCAACCTCACCAACAAAGACCTCAACCTTGCTTTCTCTTCCTTTCTTTTCGTAATATTAAAGAGGTTTTTGGACCCACATTTGGAAACCTAAAATCTAACCGTGATAGCGTTTGCAATACTGTATCGTATATAAAAGACAATGTATGCAACACAAAAAACACTGAACAACTAGTAAGGTAAAAATATTTAGATTTTTTTACAGTTTCTAGCATGAGTGGTAATTATTGAGTAATTGTACAATGGTCAACCTGTGCCAACAATAAAATAAATCTTAAAAATGTAACTTGATCAGAAAAGTTATTCAAGTGTTAGAAAAACAAACTTCTTTCAGGCTGCCCTAAACATTTAAGGTCTATTACAAGTATTTCCACTGATACTAATGTTATCATCACCAGATACAGAACGCTGAT